CCTATCTGCAGGTCTTTTCAATCGCCCTTAATTTGATGTAAGGTGGTGACTCTAAAACTTAAGGGCTGAGTACCCTAGCCCAAAAAAGGTTAACCTTTGAATTTTAGTAGGATTATAAGAGCCCCAAAAGGTTAAAGGTTACCTACTCAGCCCCTTAGAAAATGGTATACAGCTCCAGACTTGCAGTCCGCTGGCTTGGGTGGTTGTAGGAAGGCGCAGTCGGCATTCAAGTCCACTTGTACTTGGAGGACCATGGGACTTAGTAAGTAAGGTTATAAGTCCCCTAATTGGGGGGTTAAAGGTATAGTTACCTTAGTTATAACCCTACTTACTAAGTCCCATGATCCTTGAAATAAAGGTCTGTGACTTTAGAAGAGGGGGAGGTTTGGGGTGTCCTGAAGCACACAGACACTCTGGGACGGTCTTCGGGTTGACTACAGGGCTTAGGCAAGCAAACTCTAGACATCACAGCTTAGGCTCGCCGTGTGGAGTTTCGTGTATACGGTTGCCGGTTCAGCTTCAAGGGCTCGCCTTCTTTTGCGGACCCCGTTTACAAGCACACGAAGTTTGTCGATCATCTCTCTCACGGCTCCTTCATTGCGAACCACTCGCTACCTTGCCTGGGACGGCTTCACTGAGCCAAATCCAAATTCTCAAGATGCCACCCCCAATCACCGTGCTAGGCATTCTGTGAGACCCTACCACCTATAATCCCTGATTCTGAAACCCTACCTATAGTCTCCATTGTAGTTCCTTTTTTGGTTTAACCAATTATTTTTTTTTATAAGGTATCCCCAAAAAGGAACTGCAATGGAGACTGCAGAAAGTCTACAACACGCCGCATCCTGAAGCCCCCACAGTGAACCCTGAACAGTACACGCTGGAGTTTAAATCCCTCAACAACAGAGCAAAACCCCAACCTGTCGCCACATCCCGTGGCCTGCCTTGCCCCAGACGGACTCAAAGAGATCCCCTCAGCTGTGGCGTGCGAGGCGGCGAGGCACAGGGCTTCTTGGAAAGTTTTGAAACATGAGATTTAGGAGCTTAGACTCTTAGACTCCGTAGGGTAATATCCCTCCAATAGTTTATGAGTCTGTGCTTTTGGTCCCCAGTCATATTCTCCTGGGTTGGGTTCCTGAACTTCGCATCACAAGCTAAACCCGCCAAAGATGTCAGGGTCAACCTCATACCCTACGTAGGGTTAATTGCCTTGCTTCTCTTACAGCTTTCTGGCCACAGTTCTTATTGATGCTGGTGCCATATTGAGTTTGAACTTGTTACTGCTGTTGACAGAAAGTGTAGCCACCAGTGCAAACTCATAGTGCTGATGATGTTGATGCTGATGTTGATGCTGATGTTGATGATGATGATTATGCTGCTGATGATGATGAAACGGCCTCGCTGCTTTTTGTTGCACCTGCATTCTGCTAAGAACTTGCATCAGATGTACACGCGGAATAGTTTTGATTTTGCACTCCGCACCAAGGATTTGGACCACCACTCTGGCCATGGAAAACAGGAATTTGGGCCTTGATGACTCGCATCGGGGCTTGAGAATTTCATACATCACTAGCTATAACCGGAAATATCGGCAACCAGAACTCTCTATACCAAAGTTCGGGGGACTTGACAAAACTCGACCACCTCACGACTCACAAAGAAATCTCAGACTGTCGTCCAGGCCTTCCAAGACCGGGGGACCTGAAGAAGCCTGTATATAATGGGGTCCCTGAGTACCGCTCTACAGGAGTTTCAGCAAGAGTTTATGAGTTTCCGAAGTTTTATAGGTCTTTCACATCAGGGGCTCTCAACAACAACATAGGGTTGGGGGGATATCTTGTTTAAACCATATATGGACTTTATAAGATGGCGTTATGTTGTTGTGAAGAACTGTCTAGACCGCTACACCGCTACACTATACCGGACCCGAACGCCCGCTTGCCGGCAACATGTGTCAGGCTGCGTCGGATTTCTTCGCCTTGATGGCTGACCTGCGAAGACCAGTAGCCCCGAAGGGTCCTATGTACCTATACAGTAGAAATGTAGCGTTTCTACATTAGGAATATTTACTAGTCTGATTTAGGGAAGTCTCCCACGTAACAGTAATTACATAGGACCCTTCTGGAGCATCATAAGCTTCGATCACACGTTTAAGTGGAGCAGATTCACAACACGACATGACGAGCCGTAAGTACACACATCTGAAGTTGTAATCATGCGCATGAAGCGCTCGTAAATTGCCCGGCCATTGCACTACTGGCAGTGTTGCAAGTGGCTCACATGGCAGCCAACCTCCATGACCAGGAGAAGCGTGTTACTGACTTACTGATGAATGAGAGGACGAACATGAAAATGCAGGACCTGTGCAAACATCCATGTTGCTATTCCGCCCTGCGCACTCGCTAAGGCTCCATCTTCTACCTCCGCAAGACTCCATGGGTCCATGTACCTAAATACAAAGTACATAGATGATGCCTACTTTACTTTAAGCCAAAGTATAACCCATTCGGGTACATGGACCCTTGATGGGCCCATGTATCTACAATATACCTATGTAGGGACCACTTTAAGGCCAAAGCATAAACCATTCGGGTACATGGGCCCTTATAGGGACCCTAAACCCTAAACCCTAAACCCTAAATCCCTAAAACACCACGGAAGGAGAAAACACCCATCCTCGACGAGGAGGTCTCGCACGTGGACAACCTCTGCATGGGCAGACCGTTGGATCGGCTCCGGGGATCTCCCGGTTTGGGTTAAGGGTTAAGGGTTAAGGGTTTAGGGTTTAGGGTTTAGGGTTTAGGGTTATCTCTGAAACTCTTTGCCAAGCGCAAGATATGTTCAAACTTGTCTGTCTACACAGAATATGGAACCCACTTT